CCGAGAGTCTACTGTAGGGCAGACCCTCTGCTAGGCCTTGGGAATCCATCAAAGGGGCTTCCTTCTCTGCAGCTACTGAGAAACAGACACACAAACGGGGCCCCAACAGAAATGTGCCAGGTGTCATGAAGGCAACCAGGAGCACCCCATTTGGTCTGGACTTGGGTAAGTCTTTACAAAGCAGATGATGTTCAGTTGGGCTTTGAAGGGTTCTGAGGCAGACAGGGTAGCCACAAAGAGAGACTTGCATGTTCAAGAGAGATCTCTTGGTGTGTCTTGGGTAACGTGTGAAGGATGGAAGGCAGCAGAGAGAAATCATGTCACCTCATGTCACTCTCCCGCTCAAATCCCCTCACTTCCCATCTCACTAAGGGTAAAAGCAGGCCGGGTGTGGTGGCTCACACCTGTAATCCCAGCACTTTGGGAGGCTGAGGTGGACGGATCACCTGAGGTCAGGAGTTCGAGACCATTCTAACCAACATGAAGAAGCCCTGTCTCTACTAAAAGTACAAAATTAGTTGGGTGTGGTGGTGCATGCCTGTAATTCCAGCTACTTGGGAGACTTAGGCAGGGGAATTGCTTGAACCTGGGAGGTGGAGGTTGTGGTAAGCCGAGATCATGCCATTGCACTCCAGCCTGGGCAATGAGCGAAACTCCATCTCAAAAAAAAAAAAAAAAAAAAAAAAAAAAAGAGTAAAAGCGAAAGTTCCAACCAAGACCTAGAAAGGCCATCTATGATTTGACCCTGGGGCCTATGAGACCTCCTGCTCCCTCTCCTCCAGCCACGCTGGCATCCTGTGGTTTTGGAGGGTCCCTGTACTCTCCCTTCCCCTGATGGAAGCTCTGTTCCCAGATACCCACCTGGCTCGAGTCGTGCTTCCTTCAGGTCTTACTCACCAGTGAGCTGCTCCTTTGCCTCTCCTCTCTCTCCCCTTCTCTGTTTTATTTTTCCCTCTAGCTGTTAATAGCAGCAAACATTCAATCTATTTTGTTTATCTTTGTTTACTGTTTGTCTCCTCAAAGAAGAATGGAAGTCTATGAGGGCAGAAGCCCTGTTGTCTGTTGCTTCATTGCTGTATTCCTGGTGCTTGGAATAGTACCTGGCATATAGCAGGTTTGCAGTAAATATTTGTAGAATGACTGCAGAAAAAGAGTTATCAAGGACTATGTAAAGTTAAGGTTTCTAGCTTTTATCTGGAAGGCAAAAGGAAGCTGTGGACACTTTTAACCAGGGTGAGATAACCAGGTCTGTGTTTTCTAGGATACTAACTCTGTTGGCGACAGTGATAGAATGGTGGGTGGGTGCTGGGGAGGTGGGGAGAAGCCGGAAGCAGAGAGGAAAAGAAGGATTTGAGGAGGGTTTTAAAGGTGAAATGACAGGTGAAAATGCATAACTCTGATTTTATGCATCAACCCAGAAAACCGCTTTTACTTAAGTGTTTTTATTTCTCATACGCAACAATCCATCAGTATGAAATCAGTTCTCATTTTGAGGCAAAGAATGCTTCTGAATCCTTGCTTGCAGAAAAGCAAGCTAGACTGCAGAGAATGCATTCGGGTCAGGCTGCTAGCAGGGAACTGATCAAATGGAGCTCTTCTTTGGAACTGCATCTATACTTGTTACACATCTCAAAGGCAACCTTCCTCACATGATAAGGTGATGTAACTTTTCTCCACCACCCCCCTGTTAATCTCAGCATCACATTTCAGTATTTTGTTTCCTTCGGCTTCAAGGTCCTCATTGAGTTTGAGATTGTCCTCTTCCCTTCCTTTCTGTCCATGCCTCTCATAAAACTTGCCAATGTTCCATCATCTCCTCCTCCCTTTGCCCTTTATTTGGTCGCACCTCACCTACTCCACTGTAAGTTTCTTCTGGGATTGTCGCTTCTGGACCTTCTTTCACGCTGGGCAAAAATGCCTGGAACGCTTTTATAGAACCAATTTGTAAGTCACCTCCTCCTCCGGCACCTCCATTTTCATCTACCAGCCAAGGACCTTTCTTATGTTTTAAGAAAACAGCAGGCTACTCTCAGGTATGGAAGACTCAGAAAAATGTACCATCATCTACTGTTCTCCAAAAAAGAATTACTTGAAAATACACTGTAGCTGACTGAGACATGACTACATCAAAATGCAGAATGGAAGTTATGCTGGACTGGGACTGGGGGTCCATCCTCGGGTACCAGCAGCAGCACAAAGACTCAACGTGGAAAGCTGGGAAGTGAACCCTCAGCATACACTGACTGACTTGCCACACCAACAAATAGCAAGAATGGAAGGTCCTTCCTTGCTTTCACAGTGACATCTGAAGGAAGCTTCATGAAACTGCTTGTTCCTTAGGAATTGTTTTAATCCTGTAACTGGAATCTCTCTGTAAAAGCTTCTCCCTTAAGAAGAGTTTTCTGTTGGATTCACAAGCCCAATTAAATAGGATTACAGCTACGTTAAAAAGCAAAACCCAGAAAGAACCCATGGCTAGGAACAGGCCTGGGAACAATTTTTTGTGTGGCTTTCTTTGAATGAGGAGCAGCTCATGACACCCCCAGTGAGGACACAGCTCCCTGGTTGCCATTGCCAACCAGCCAGGCCCCAACACGGGCTCTTGGCCACCTTTCCAGCCACAACTCCAGGTGTGCCCCTGCACATGGCATCTTCTCAGATTCATCCTGTGCTCCCCAGAACTGTCCTCCCAGGCCTCCGTGCCTTCTCACGTGCCAGACCTTGGGATGCTCTTCCCGCCTTCCGGGTTTGGGGAAACCCTACTTGCCTTCCAAGGCCTGGCTGACTTGTCTTCCTTACACAGCCTCCTCTCTCCGCCCCTGCAGAGCTACAGGCAGCTAACACAGCCCAGTGCAGACCAGCACTTGCTCCCAGCTCTCTCTGCAGGAACCGCTGGAGTTAGTTCTCACTTCAGACTCCTCTGCCATCCTCACAGGACTCAGCATGAAGAGTCCTCTCAGGATCTGCTGTGTGTGGATACCTGGATCAGGCGTCCGTGATCCCATCATCAGAATGAAGATCTAGGCCCCATATTCAGTAAAGCCAAGTAATCCATCCCTTCAGAATGACTCCCTCTAATAAACAAGGAACAAAGAATGCTGGTTTCTTCCTGGATTTGAGGCATATTTTATCTATCTGACTGTAATGTCCACGAACACAGGGACTAAATTTATTCACTTGCCCACAGTGCTAACAGTGCCTAGCCCAAGGCAGGTACTAATCAAGGTTTGTTGAAATTATGAGGGTCTTATTTGCACTATTTCCCAGATGGTGCAAAATGCCTGGCACAGTTCACACTGACTGAAGCTATGCTGAATGAATGAATCCTGGTCTAAGAGGTAAAATGAGGCCATTTTCTTTATGCTAAAACCAAACCCGACAAAAGACTCCCTCAGAAGCGTGCACCTGCCTTCCTTCTCGGAGGCCCCCACCTCCACCCCTTTGTCTTGGCTTCTGTGTGAGACCCTGAGAAACAAAAAGCTGCTTTGTGTGACTGGAAGGAAAGGCTTCACAGAAATGCTAAACAACATTAACCTTTTCCCCCAATTGCATTTAACACACAGGGTGACTATAAACCTGGGGGGATCAGGAAGAAATCAGTTCGATATTCAGACAATAAACAAGGAAGAGACGCCTTCACATCTTCACCATCCCGAAACCCACACATTTCCCCCCATGAGAAGCGATTCAGAAACACCCATGCGGTGCCCCAGCCCCCTAGGGTGGCCCTTTCTTCTGTGCTGGTCGGTGATTCCCGGAGTGTATACCCATGTGTGCGTGCCGGGAGCAGCAGTCACTGCGGCATCAATAAAACTGACTTACACCCGCACCTCTAAATGCCCAGTGCTGGTTCTTTGGAGACCAGGAATTTGTCAATGTTGCCTTCATGTCAACCTGGCTCTCCTAGGAGTCTCAAAGCTACATGAACCCAGAAAGAGATTCTCTTGATGTGCCCCTCTCTGTGTTCTCTGAAGATGACCAGAAACAATCATAAAAAAGGAACAAAGGGATTACAAATTAATCTGCCCTTGCTGGCTCCTCTGACTACAACGATATGATTACAAACCCAGGATTTGCAAGAGACCTAAATTCCTCATTAATCTTCACTATCGTTTCTATCACTGTTTTTTTTTTTTTTTTTTTTTCTCTAACCTCCTTTCTTAGGCAGGGAATGAGGGGGAGCTATGTTCTTTCTTCCCTCAGCAGTAACTGAAAAATATGTCCTTAACATTTCAAAAAAGCAAATTGTCCCTGTGCTATAACCACTAAAGCGTGGAGGTGAAATGGCACGGGTGTCCTTTATGTCACCATCTGTCTACGTTAATGAATAGAAGCGTGGATAACCTAAACTCGTGGTTTCTCTGGATAGCATAAATCTGATAATCCAGAAACATTCCAGAGTCTAAGAATTTCTAATTTCTTTACATGACACTTGCTTTGGTATAGCATGTTTTGACTGTTCAGCAGCAGGCTGTGAGTGAGCTCTAAATTGTGTTTTGTGGGAGCTTCTGCTCTCTGGCCATCTGGAGCTGGGTCCTGCGGAAAGAACAGGTCCTGGTATCTTCCTGCCAGGCTCACTCCATGGGTCAGTGCTACAGTGTCATCAAAAAGCAGTGGGGCTTTTCTCCTTCTCTTTCCTAGATAGGTCTGCAAACTCCATTTGCGCAGTGGCACTGCCAGTGACATTTCTGCCCTGGGAACCACAGACACATACTGCCACTGAGAGAGGAGAGATTCTGTGAGCTGGAGGGGGACTGAAGCATTTAGAACAGCTGCTACTTACATTAATTCTGGCATACAGTTCATGGTGGCTGCTTGTCTACATACATGGTGGCTCCCAGTTCTGCTTTTCCCTGGCTGAATACCTGTCCGTGTTCTTCAAACTCAAGCTCAGCAGAAAGCTGAGGATGGCTTTGGAAAGCAAAGCAGGTGAAGTTTCCCCAAATGGTGTCAAAAAAGCCTCCAATCCCAGGCCCATTTCTGTGAGGCCCTGCTCTTACCTGGGTATGGCACTCTTCCTTTGGTGACCAGCTCTGTGAGTAAGATTCCAAAAGACCACACGTCAGACTTGATTGTGAACCTCCCATACAGGGCTGCCTCAGGGGCTGTCCACTTGATGGGGAATTTTGCACCTGCAGAATGAACACCTGGTTATTCATCAGGCAGAGGGCACTGCACTGGGTATGGGGTGCGGGAGGGAAAGGCACTTGCAAACCACTTTCATGAGAGCAGGTTTATAGGGGAGGATAGAAAGGAGGTGAAGCAGGAATGGACTGGGATTGGGAAGATGTAGGGTCTGGTCTTGGCTGTGTGACCGTAAGTAATCCAGCTTAATTTAAATTTTCCTATCAAAGTACCTTAATACCTCAATAAAAGGCGGAAGAAACCCTGGTTTCTTGTGATTTAGGAAAAAAAAATATATATTTAACTCTGAAATAATGCTGTGTTTCAATAAACATACATAAAATTTAGTCATAATGCTGGTCTCATGAGTCCTCTGGTATGTAAGACAGTTTGATCTCACCAGGTAGACAAAAATCAGATTAAACAACTGAGCTGCTCCCAGGGTGGGGACAACTGGATACAGCCCAAGTGTTCTGCTGAAATGGGTGAGATTTCCCAAAGGCCTCCCACACCCACAGTAGGGAAAGCAATCTGCCTCTAGCCCCTTCCATCTCCACACTTGTGGTCTTTCCTCCATTCTTTCTCCCTGTGGAGGCCATCTTTATTCCTGGGATAGTTTTTTCTTCTGTAATATCACTTTCTTACCATCTTACTTTTCTCCTCTCAGCCAGAAAGAGTACTATTTAATGTTTGTTTTGTAAAGAGCAGTTTCGCCTCCATGACTGTCTTATGAGCCTCTGACTTTTCAAGACCCAAGGTGCAAATTCATGCCAAAGTCAGTGGAGTCTTTTCTTTCAAAAATTGATCTGATAATTGAAAGAATCCTCTCTCTAACCAAAAAGAAGGGTGTGGTCCACCTGGCTTTTTACAAGCTTGATGTATGTGCAGGGAATTAAAAGGGATTCAGGCTGGGCATGGTGGCTCATGCCTGTAATCTTAGCACCTTGGGAGGCCAAAGCAGGCCAATCATTTGAGGTCAGGAGTTTGAGACCAGCCTGGCCAACATGGTGAAACCCTATCTATACTAAAAATACAAAAAATACAAAATTAGCTGGGCATGGTGGCATGAGTCTGTAGTCTCAGCTTCTCGGGAGGCTGAGGCAGGAGAATCGCTTGAACCTGGGAGGTGGAGGTTGCAGTGAGCCAAAATCTCTCCATTACACTCCAGCCTGGGTGACAGAGAAAGACTCCATCTCAGAAAAAATAAACTTAAATAAAATAAAGTAAAATAAAATGAAAGGGATTCAGCAGCTTGTGCTCTCAAACATTCAGCTCAGCAATTATAAAGCAGTTCCAGTTATTTTACTGAGCAAACTAAAAGAGAAACACAAAGAATTTTTTATTACGTATGTAAACACAATTACATGCTTAAAGCATGTTCATTCTGATTAAGGAGCTCCTAAAAATCATACAAAGGCTGACAAAATCAGAAAGTTTCATAGAATCTTCCATAAAAAGTCAGTATGTGCAAAAGTGATGAATGATTAAAATATTTAAATTGGCACAGTTTTAATAGCCAGTGGTATGATAAATTACAGCAATTAGATTTTTGTCTTAAATACAGCATATGATAACATCTTTAGTAAATCTACCCCGGCATTTTCAGGCAATATAATTTTCCTCTCCATCTCTCATGTGTCTGTGTGAAATGAGATGAAAAAAAAAAAATCCTACTATTTCATTATGAGGCATCTCACATAAACACTGGAGCAGAAAAGTTATTCTATAGTTTTCTTTTCCTTTTATGCATGGAGTTATTTTTAATTAGCTATGTTTCTCAGGCATAATTATTTATATCTTTCCTTATGTGCTAGATGATTCCACATAAGACCGGGGATTCTCTGAATAGTCGTTTTGTTTCTAAAGTTTCTTTCACAGCATTCTTCTCACACTTCCTATCCTTGAGCATTCTGTTCACGCAGCTTTGGACTTTGAGCCACTGGGATTAATGTGATAGATTTTCTTCAGTGTTGAGTGCAGACTTTGCCCTGGACCAAACCTCAGCTGGAGTTCTCCTACTTCAGAGAATTAAAGGTATACTACATTCATTCCTATTTAAACCATCTCTTGAGCCAAATTGCTTGGAAATCTCTGACCATCTCTGAAGTAAATGGAACATTCTTCTCTGCTGTGTAGACAAATCCTGTAAATGAAATGACAACCAAAGGAGCTGTTTCCCCTTCTTTGAATCATTCAACATTGATGAAGGTGTGTGTGTTGCTGAAACTGACTATTTAAAATTTGGATACAGTCATGTGAGATTTTCCAAGGGCTTTCACAATTTCTGATTTAAAAAACCAATGGCAGTATCAGTCAGTTGCATTAGTTAGCTTTATTATTTTCTCATATTATAATATACAATAAGGATTATAATATGTAAACCTTCAAAAAAATGTTAAAACAAAGGCTATATAATGTAAGGAATCTGTGAAAGGAAGTCATTTGGAGATACGTGCTCTGACTTACTACCAGTCGGAACTTACTAAAATTTATTTTGTATTAGTTTCCTTTCTAAGACAAAGAATATATTTGCACCAAACAATGTATTTGGAGGAATAAAAACTAACGTCTTTGTCCAACTTCTGCTGCTTCTCTGTCTTAAAATAGCAGCCGCATTTGACAAAAGAAGCTTCTTTATAGATAACTCATTTTCCTTTCCAAGGAAGACAAAAGGTTAAATCAAAGCAGCAATAAGGTATTAATGATTAACTGAGATTTCTACTGAAAAGAGCTAATCCCTGCTTCCTCTTTTACACATCTCATTACCTCTGTTTCCCCTTATCTTGATTTCCCACCTCCTGAGGGTACAAAGCTATTGGCCTTAAAATGCAGCTCTAAATGTGGTGGAGTTAACTGGGGATTTTTGGCAGGTGTTTTTACAAATAGCCATGCAGGCTGCACAATGTAAAACCCCAGTCTATGAAAACAGCACCCCTAAGGCTGTGTAGTACATAACCTATACAATCCCACAGGTGTCCCTGCTGCCAGGCTGCTGCAGTGGGCTCTGTAAGTTAGGAGACTTCAGACACCTTGAAGGAAGGAACTTCTGGGTGTAAATGATGCCTTTCCCTTGAAAGTAAAGTTCTGCCCCTTAGGTTTTTTCACAGATATCGTGACAGGCATAAAGTCAGAATCAAAGTTGTCTTCTAAGTAGTATGGACTTACAGAAAAATGGAGAAAATGTCAGAAGAACTGCACTGCAGTTAACTTGATATTGTTATGTAACTAGCTGATTCATTCTTTGAAATTCTTCTGCTTGGGAGCAGGATTTAGATATGAAAACAATTTTCTCCTCTTCGCATTTTATTTAGAGGAAACAGAGCAAACTATGCAGGTAATGATCATCTATGTCACTGATGCCTTGAGCTTTACTTTAACACTTAGTGTGTTTGTTTCATGTTTACATGAATTAAGAAAAAGAAGTTATCACCGTATTTTTCATCTCTTACTGAATTTGCTTAACAGTTTAGGATTCTTTTAAGCCAGTACGCAAAGGCCATAATGTGTGTGTGTGTGTGTGTGCGTGTGCGTGTGCGTGTGCGTGTGCGTGTGTGTACTTGGGAGCATCTTTTCCACTCAATACTTTCCAGGTACTATTTGCAAATTTTACCAAACTCCCAAGGGAAACTCATTGCTGAAACTTTGACTTGTCATGGTGAAAACTTGACAACCTGGTGTTGTCACTGGTGCCCATGTCCTAGAACTTCCAGGTAAGAGAATCTTTGTACCTTAGTCATTTAACTCCCAGGACCAGTTAGCCTTAGGCTGAATCATTCCTGCGATGAATAAATATGTCGATGTTTTAAATAATTTCTGACATACACCTCAATCCTGTTTCTCTGAATTCTGTTGAGATATGAAACAAATGGTCATAAACTCTGCGTAACGTCAAGGATCTTATTCACTCCCATGGCTCCAGTGACTATCTTGACCGCAGCGATGCTTGCGTTTATATCACCAGATGAGACCTCTCTCGAGTCCCTGACTTGCATAACCAATTTCCTTCTCAACTGTCTCTCCATCATCACAACAGAGACACAACTGAGAAGCAAATTAGTTATGCAAGTCAGCACCCCTCAAATGCAACATCCAAAATTTATCTTCCCCATAATTTGGCTTCTCAATCCTTGCTGACTTTGTAAACCACCCAGTTGGTGATAACAGAATCCCGAGAATCATTGTCGCCTGGACATTCTATTTTTCCTCACTGGGCACTCAGATCCCAGCACAGGGCCTGTCTATAGAAGGGGTCGATAGTCTTTACTGAATGAGCTGTGGCACCCCCCCTGCTTTGTCCCTGACCATGTCAGGTCCATTACATCCTGACCATTTCATACTCTTGAATTCACTACCCTCACTCTAGTCCTCACTGGCTCGGCATGCCCCCCCCTGGGTTTCTATAGTCGCCTTCTAATAGAATCTACCTGAATAATCTGGTCCCTATCTACTTCCCCAGCTTCCTCTTATCATCCCAGACTTGTTCTCCTCTGTCCTCTACAACCTCTCCATTGCCCTTCTTTGACTGCTTTGCAAATGCCAAGCTCTTACCTGCTTCAGGCACAGGCTATTTCCTTTGTCAGACTCCTCGTCTCATGGCTAATTCTTCTCCGTTGCTCCTAGCCAAAGCATTACTTGCACAGGGAGCCTTTGCCTGATCACTGAAGACTGGGGTAGCTTTCCTACTTCTATGCTGCCAAAGCACCTCCCTTTTTGTAGTTGTTACTATTTTTTTTCCCAGCAAATATTGCTTAATGAAGCTGTTACTATTATAGTGCAATGAATGCATGAATTGTCTGAAGGCTGTCTCCATCCACAGATAAATGCCATGCTTGAGTGCTGGAGCATGTCTTCCTGGATGGCCACCATATCTCCAGTACTGAACACAGTGTCTGGAGCACAGAAAGCACTTGATAAACAGGTGCTGAATGAATGAATGAGTAGCTGGACAGCCCTTCCAGCCCTTCTCATTTTGGCTGAATAACCAAGTTCCTTACAGAGCTTATTATCA